AAATACCCATTTTGCATTAAAAAAATTATTCGCAATCGTTAACTTTAGCGGAACGATGGGTATGATAACGTTACAGTTGAGTCTTTTTGCGCGTCGCGCATCGACTGCCCGCTGGTATGAGGTGTGTCTGGCTGGTTGCTCTTACTCGGGCGCTTCGATACGGCTCCGAGTCGGCTTCGAGTCGGAGTGGTGACTCGAGCCGCACTTTGCACGCTTGTAATCACTTTGTGCCCTAGAGCAAAAAAGTACATTTGTCGGCTTCTAGACGTCGTCTTCGATCTGGGTGACCTGAGAATACTCTAGATCGTTTTATACTTACTTCTGAGTGCTTATCCAAGCTACCGGAGTCTTCCCTACGTCGTCTCGAGTCGGCCTTTGTCCCATTTGTAGCCCAGCATCATCTGCAACTCGACTCTGTAGGCACACTTTATATTTTCCCTGAGTAACTTATTTAGCCATGGCCAGGTAAGCAACGACTCCCGTGGTTCAGAACCCGCCTGCTTCAGAATTGTTATGACTGGACTCGTTTTCCAGTTCTTCAAGGTAAGCTTCCGAGGCCAGTATCAGATCCTTTTAGGGCTTGATATCACGGTTAGTCGAAGCCTAGTATTTCTCTTACCTTTTAAGAATGTCTCACAAATGACTCGTCCTTTTGTTCTAGTCGATGTTTCAGGAGCGACTCTTGTGGGTCGCATTATCCTCTTATAGTTTTTTAGCTTAACTGCCTATCCTCTACCAAAGTCCTCTTACGCTTAAAGTTGGCCATCTCACCATCTCCTATAGCTCCCTTTTTTTGTCGTCCAACCCAGTAGCTACGGACGCCTGGTTGCCAACGAAGCGCTAATACATTGGCCTCGTCGTAGGCACTCTCATCTTCACCTCCACTCAGAGCGAGTTTATCTACTGGCGCTTACCAGTGGCGATCTTGCTACGTTGCTGAAGTACCGTAGGACGCTCTGCGACCAATGTTCCGTAATATGCCAGCTGTTTTATTATGTTTGTGTGTAGCGCGCTGTCTTGTTCAGCACCACTTCTGATTCCTGGACATTCACGTTGACCTTGACGAGGGCTATAGGTCTGGCTGGATCCTGGCCTTTTAACTGTGGCATCGGCAACCGAGCTCGATTTTCTTGAAGCTCTTGTTGTCGATGAGTTTTTTTTTCCGCCCCAGCTATGCGTCTCCACCCAGCTAGGCTCTCCTTATATAGGCTGATGCTCTACTTTGTGGCTTCGAATTTTCGCGTGGCATTGGCGTGTCTTTCCGACAACCATGAAAATACAGTAAATTTTAATAAATTCAAAGTAAAAATATAGTAAATAATAGTTTTATATGTACCCTTGTTGCAACGTAAAATGTACTAAACCAGTTTATATTACGTAATTTCGTTTCAGTGACAATATAACTTATACAATCAATGCTTAGTTTGTGCGAGCATATCAAAATAAAGAGCTTTCCTGAATTTCGATGCAAGCAAGAAGTTTGCCAAAAATCATAGCAAAATAATTTTATTGGTAGACTTTTAATGTTTTGTAGTAATTGTTTTTTTGTTCTGATATTAAAAAAAAAAAAAATATCAATTTATACAACAAAACTATCATCAAACAAAAAATTATTATTAACAACTTTTTAATGCTTTTTTGGAATTAATTCTTTTTTTTTTGAAAGTATGTAGAGGCCTCAAAATTTGAAAAATCAATGTAGACCTAATATTATAATAGACTCTTGTTTTCCCAGAATGAATCAAAGCCAGTTCTTTCTCAAATTACTTTAAAGGCTTATTACAAAGACCGTAGGATAACTAGTATTTTTTTTAATTACTTAATTTTTTATCATTAGTAAAATAGTATTAATCAACTATGCTTTGTTCGCCGTTTGTGGAATCCTTATTTTAATACGTATTATACCTATAAATGGTACAGCAGTATATGTGTTAATCTATAAATAAATGAAACAAATATATAACTCGTATTACAAATGAATACCTTGTTTTATATAGGTACGGGAAATACGTGATGATGATAATGTGAAAAAGTTGAAATCACCGAAAGAACGGAAAGGTAGAAAGGAATGGTTATCTGTGCCGGCTTTCTGTGATTGGCTCGAATTTGAGAAAATTAACACAAAAAAATTTTGCTGCAATTTATGTAAAAGAAGCCTAGCTGGCAAGTTTTATAATATAAAAAAACACGCACTGTCAACCAGGCATTTAAAAAAATTGGAAGAAAAACTAGGAAAAAAACCACGGTTCACTGAAGCTGACTTTAAAATTAACAACGAAATAACAAGGAAGAAAGCTATTGCTGAATTAAAATTCGCTGCACTGATCGCTAGAAATAATATACCGTTTAAGGCGGCTCCTAAAGTACTTAAAGATATGCAAAACATTGTCAATGATGGAATTATATCTGAGTTGCACATGAGCCCTGCCAGGACGCGAAACTTAATCGTCAATGTAATTGGTGAAAATTCTAAAGAGGACCTCGCTAAATTACTGCAAAAAATATATTTTGGTATTTCTATCGACGAAAGCACGGACTACTCGAAACAAAAATCTTTAGCCATAAGAGTTAGATATGCGGATCCCCAAAGCAGGCGAATTAAATCAGAACTGTGGGACCTGTATCCGATTTTTATTCCCGGGGCAAAAGCCAAAGCTGACGCATCACGCTTAATCGAGTGCATTGAAAAATCGTTCTCTGATTTTGAGGTCCCAATAACAAATATAATTGCATTTGCAGCTGACGGTTGCTCAACGATGATGGGCCAAGTTAGTGGTGTTAAAGCTCGTTTGCAAGAAATGATTCCAGGCATTAAAAGTGTGCAGTGTCCATCTCATATCACGCATCTTTGTTTCAAACACGCGATGGAAGAGATACCAAAAGATGTATTTGATTTAATCAATAATTTTTATACCATGGTTAAACATTCAAATAGATTGCGGGATTTTGAAAATGTGCAAACTCTTTTAAATGTTAAAAAGCACGCAATAAAACGTTACATTGAAACGCGTTGGCTCTCATTGCAGGAATCTGTCGATAGAGATATAGAGCAGTGGCCAGCTCTCTATTATTTTGCAAAACAACTGGCTGATGAGGGCGATGAGTTGGCTATAAAAGTAGTAATTGCAATGGACAAACCTGACATGAAGTCGTATTTTTTTATGTTGCAGCATGCATTGGGCCAATTAAATTCTCTGAATTTATTTTTTCAAAGGAGTGACGTAGTACTTCATGAAGCCAATTATTTTGTAAAAAAAACGTATAAAAATATTGTTTCCTCCATTATGAATCGGAAATACGTGGTTGAAACTCCAGCTGGTAAACTAGATTTATTTAACTGTAAGGAGTACTTACCTTTCATAGATTTTCAGTTGGGTGACGGCGTTAGGCACGAAGTACTTTCAAGACCAAGCGATATGAGTTCATTTTGCGTAGCTTCATTTAATTTTATCTTGTCTATCGCTTTAGAAATGAAAAACCGCTTCAACAACTTTAATAATGAGCTATATAGTGCAGTAACTTGTTTGTTACCACTGAACGCTCTATCGATTCAGTATCGTCTCGAAGATCCAGATGCACTTATTAGATTTACAAATTATTTTAAAAAAATGATTGTTGACGAAGAGCATCTTTTACAACTTCAAAGTGAGTGGAATCTACTTCCAGAGTTAGCGATTGACATTAGCGTCCGTGTGTACGATATGAAAATTGATGAATTCTGGTGGTATATCAGATCTATGCATGTCGATGATGTTTATATTTTTGAAAGAATATCGTCTCTAGCTTTAATGGCACTATCTGTCCCTCATTCAAGCGTCGATACAGAACGAGATTTCAGTGCAATGAATAACTACAAAACCAAGAATAAGAATTTATTAAAAGTCGAAACAGTTGATGGAGCATTGCGAGCTCAACAGCATATTAATACTTTTAAAGGAGGCCCCTTTCAACCGGCAGAATCAATGATAACAAAATGCATGAAAGGTAGATACTATAAAAACAAATATGCTGAAGGTCGAGTACGATAGTTATTCTTCTAGAAAAATTAGACAAGAAGCTCAAGTGTGTTGACCAATGGATAAATAATCCGGTAACCCAAATGTTATTGAAGGTATAGAAAATTTTTTATTGTATTTACGAATTTTCTGAACCTTGTAAGATAATACACATGATATTCATGAGTTTATGATTCAAATCAATTTAGAAGTAGCTTCAGTATTTTATTGTAACAATACTTTATATTTTTACCTTATTTTTCAATGAAGACAGAATTGCTTATGTACTAATTTTTTTTAAAATATTTTTATTATTTCTTGCAATCATACACAATACTAGTGAGGATCTATTATTACGCAATACATAATGGCAATAGCAAGGAAAGAGTGATAGTAATAAACTTATTCATAAAGCGAAATTTATTGATAAACTGGAAAGCGAGAATTCCATGGCACGCAAACTCATGTGACCGTACTTTCTGCACCGTCGATAAACTCCACAATACTGCGTAGCACTAATGGTAAAACAGACACCCGCTCTTAATGATAATTATGTTCTACACTGTAATAGAAACTATTAAACGAAATTATTGAGTCAACAAATTATCAGTATTGACTAAAAAAATGTCAAGTTTTTGGTAATACCATTCAACCAATGACATTTATTATCATTACGATACTCAGCGTATACTCATATATGTTTGCATTTGAGATTTTAGAAGACAAATGTTGATTCGAATGCGTCTTGGATAATTATTGCGTTATCAATTGTATTTTTTTTATCATTTGATCAATAATTTAATTTTTACTAGTATTTTTTTTGCAAGTACCATATTTAAATTTCGCGCGCTTGATCGGTGGCCACTTTTAAGATCGCTGATGCTGACTAGTACCTAAATTGAGTTTATTTTTTAAACGTGATGTCACCTGTACTCATCATCAGCGAGTCAGCAAAGCCAATCAGCTCGTTCCTAAATCTGATAAGGTAGCACAGAAAGTAGTAATACCACAACGATACACCTTAGCCATCCACGGCAGCTGATTTTCTTTTCTCTCTCTTGAGGTAAGTAAGTACATGTAGTGTTTACATAGTTTGTCTTCCTCACAAAGTAGGGCCTTCATTTATAATTGTGTGTGTGTGTGTTTTTCCACGTGCATATCCCGGATTAATCAGGTTTGAGCTGAAAATAGTTGACCAGGATGATGGACAATTATTTTAAACTGGAGAAGATCGGTCAGGGTACGTATGGAGTCGTCTACAAGGCCAAGGACAAACTTACGGGCAAGGTCGTCGCCCTCAAAAAAATTCGTCTGGATACGTGAGTGGACCACCCTTTAGTTTTCATTCATTTCTTTATCTACTTACTACATTTACACTTGTTATTGTCACATCACAAGTTTTGCCAAACTAATCAATCAATGATTTAATGTATATTTTACCAACTACATCGTTATATGGCTATAGGTATATATATATATTGGTATTAGCGTACGGAAGCCCGTGGGTGTTCGCACACACGACATTTTTAAAAGCCGAGCGTGAACACGCTTCTTTTTATTTCCAAGTGGAACGTACCTAATAGAGTCTTGTTCGATTCAAGTGCTCCGAGGCCTTCGCCCGCTCCGAGCGACCCAAGAGTCATTGAGGTGTATATCTGTATTCATGGCCAATACTGTAAATATAGATATACACCTCAATGACTCTTGGGTTGCTCGGAGCGCTCGGGGTACGTATTATGGAACAAGTAGTCTGATGGTGTTAGGAAAAAGGAACTAGTAAAGCGCGCGCAATTTAAATTCGGAGGTGGTTGTGTTGTATCTGTAAAAAAAAGCGTCTTTAACTAAATAACTCTGTAAATATTTTCTTAATTATCAATATCACCTGTTACCAGATTTTTTTAATTGTCAATAACTCAATAATTAATAAAACGATGGCCTCTAGCTATATAACTCAGGGCACTTATGTTGGCAACTTTATTCATTAATAACAATTAATAAAAAAAAATAGTATTACACCAGGTAATGCAGTGGAATTACTTGCTGACTTATTTATTTACAAAGCAATAATTAATAACAAAAGTACGTAAATTGATGCGACTTATTTTTCAGAGCCCATGCATAATAGTTTACTGGGTTATTATGGTTTTTAGCTTAAAAAGTACTTATATTAGGTATGTAGTAAGAACTTTTTTTTTTATTATTTAAAGTGGCAAATAAGCTCGCTGCGTTACGCAGTTAAGGATTTTTTTGTTATTATTTATTGCTGTGTTTATTAATAAAATCAAAAGCAAACTCGCTGGATTTTATTATTAATTATTGTTGAAATCAACTTCGCAAGAAAATGCACAGACCCAACCACTAAATTTGAACTGCGCGGCCCTTACCAGTGGCTTTTTCTTAGAACTAGGGGGCTGTGCCCCCTCGGCGCTCCGCGCGCCAACATCCTAAATTTAATGAAACATTTATTTTCTGTATTTAAAAAAAAAATACAATAATTATATCTTTGTCGTAACACGTAATATTGTAATATTTATCAACTTACAAATTAAAATGACTTTTCACTGATTTTTCAAAATCTCATTTTCAAATTTACCTGCGCTTGATCAGTCTCAGCCAATCACGCGACGAATAA